ATCTTCATATTATCTCGCAAGAAAAACATATCTCAGAACTCTAACCTTTCAAAATGTGGTGGGAAAAGCAGGCGTGCGTTTAGCAGATGTTGCTAAAGAGCCCTGGATATCATGGGAAACCAAAACACTGTCCTGGTGTCCAGAAGCCCTTGAAGTCAGTTTCTGAGCCTCGGGGACTCTATGATTTCTTCTAAATCTAAGGAATATTATTGCCTAAGACCTTCAAAGGCGTTTGTAAAGGCGAACAGACCAAAAACAGGTAGAGAGAACAAACAAAATGTGATTGGACACAAGTTGTGTAATGGCCTATTTGACCCTTTGGTTTTTAAATAAGGCAAATTGGCTCCATTAACTCCCGCTGAAGATAATTTTCTCCTACTGTTTCCCAAGGACTCTGAAACCCTGTTGTCTGTGTACCACTGGGCAAGTTGTCCTGAACAAAGAAAACATCCCCCTCTCTCCCGTCCCAGCATAGTAAATGCTTTCAGCTTTTCAGACATCATGCTTCAGGACTGGAATGCTCTCCTTATTTCCAGTCTGTGTGAGTAGACTGGCTCCTGGGTGTACAGGCAGAAAGTTCCATGGGTTCCTAGGCAGAGGAAACACTGCGGGTGGGGCCATGGGCTTGGGCTGTGTGAGGGCCTCTCTCAGTCAGAAGCTTCTGACAGTAGCTTCTCCTCTCTTCTCTCCTCTCGGGTAGAAAGCATGCTCCTGCAGGGCTCCACTCCACCCACTTAAATAATACCTCCCTTGCCAGGGAACGAAATAAAACTTCCCCCTTACCTGGTATTTATTTGGATTTTCACAGCGCTCATTAAAGTCTTTTCCTAAGGCAATCTGCAGTAGAGGCCCTATTCCACCCTACCCCCTAACAACAACTTCAATACGAAGTCTCAAAGGCTCAGTATTTTAGACTTCCTAAAGCTGTCCGTTCACACTAAGGACTTCTCATTTGAGGACAGCGGTGCAGTGAGAGCTCAGGGACCACACATCTGCTTATATACAGCAGGACAGGGCACTGGAGAGTTCAACTATCACCTCCGGTAAACATTTCACCACTCCCTTCCTTGAGTTCATCTGGCCTTTCCGTCCTACCTCTAGCATAACTCTTGAGCTATGATATTTATTTTATATTGCCAACTCATTTACATTCATTTTCCCCTCACCTTACTTTGAGTCCCCTCCACTCATTCTGAGTATCTTGCCTGGCTTTTTACTTACCCACTCAAGACCATCTGAGGAATGAACTCACTAATGATTAGAACTTTGTCCCACCATCTTAGAGGAGACTTCCCCTTCCCCCCTATTTACAGAATAAAGAATACATTAAATGTCTTTCATAATTATGTACTTATATATGAATTCCAACTGCTTCAAGACCATAAAATACTTTATAAATGCCAACTGTGATTATATGTCTTCTAAACAATGGGACATATGGTTAGTGAGTGGAAAAAGATGTGACAGGGCCAGCAATTCTTCTTGCCCAGTCCTTGTTTCTACCCCACCCAACACCAGATAGTAACTCAAAGTTGAAAACATGAACCTGGAAAGGAGAAGGCTGTAATGAAGGTCTATAGGACTTCTAGGTCCTATGTCAGGGACCTGCCTTCATGAGGGAAGTCACCAAAGTCTCAGAAGAGGAGCCTAGGCAAGGGATTCCACATATAAATACCATTAACATCCAGTCTGAGGTTTAAATGGAGGCTGAGATGAAAACAGTGTTTGTCCTTACTTATTAAGGACAGAAGATGAGCAAGCATGTAAGAAAGGCAATTAGCAGGAATGGTGCCCAACCTTCTCCCAAAATGCTCTCTGTTACCGGCCTGAGAAGGAAGGAGAAGCAGGACGTATCTTCTTTTTCTTGTTTCTCCTAACTCCAGATGTACAAACATCATGGCCAGAAAAATGTGTGTTTTACAGTGAGCAAACAGTCAATCATATCCCTACTCCCATGTTTCAGGAAAATTGGAGAGCAGGTATATTTTCCTCAGCTGTTGTGTTATGGCCTTTTAATATGATTTCTGAAGCCAGAGATGATTCACTAATTCAAGCATTTCACATGGTCTCTGCCATCCATTGTACAGCACCAGGATCAATGATCAGACTGTTCCATGCTTGTCATTGTCTGGTCTCAGAGGTCAGGGAGTGATGGGCACAGAAAGCACTGTGATCTGCAGGGAGGAGGAGCAACAGGGACTCAGCGACAGAGACACTGCCCCAGCCCAGCAGTGAGCTCAAAGCTTGTTGACGTGACTTGTCTTGAGATGTCTGAAGATATCAACCAGATAAAAACAAAACAGGCCCTGTGTCTCACATTGAAAACATCAAATTATCTGGGGCAAAAGATTGGCAGGTGGGCTCCTGGGACCATGTGGGGAGGTCACTTCACACCACAGGTTTCGTGACAGCAGGTTGAGGAGTGGCATGGCCTTGTAGTTTAGAATGTTTTGCCAAATGGCTCCTGTTTGCCCCCAAGAGCTCTGGTGTGGGATCAAGTCCACCGTTTCCCACTTTTCAGCTACAGCACTGTCAGCTTCCTCAGAATGCTTAACACTTTGGCACCAGGAGCTGCTGAGGTGGCCCCATTACTCCTTCTTTGACGTCAGTGAGGGAGTTGTTCCCTGTGGCTGTCTTATGTGAAATAATTCAGCATTTGTACTTCAATTAAAATTCATAGGTATATATTATTAAGTGGAACTGACTCATTCCGTGGCTCCTCTTCAGCTGAATAAGTGCCAAAGAAATGTTACTTACGTGCTCATGATGAAAAGCCAGGAAAACGAAGAGTTCCTTGTCAGTTGAAAGGCAGGCTTTGCAAAAAGCACTTCATGTCCCATGTCAGTCCTTTCTAAATTTAAGTCAAAAACCATCTCTACCTTTGAGGGACAAAAGAAAAATGATAAAAAGGGAGAGAGAGAAAGAGAGAGAGACCCACCCATCATTGTTATTGCCATGAGCTGGGTATGTCTCACAAATGAGCTGGAATCAAGTTGAATTAGGGACATGTGTCCAGTGTATCTTGTGGGACAGAAAGAAATGTATGTGGCCACAAAGCCATTGTCAGGAAAAGAGAAGTTTTGTTGATTCTGTAAAACCAAACCTTTTTTTTTTTTTTTTCTCTGTTAGCATAGTAGATAGGCCTGGGAAGATGAGGGAGGGAACAACAGTTTCTCTTCTCTCAGGAAAGATTTTGCTTCTCCCTCAGACCCCACTACACTGTGTTCACTGTCCTCCTTGCCTCTACCTGTTAAAAGGGCATCATCATCCCATGTTTAGAACACCCATAGAGTCACTGGGTGTGAGCATGTGTAGGGCTAGAACCATTTGATACAATATTACAACGAAAACAAAAGCCTTGTGAAGTATAGAACTTTTACAAAGTAAGGGACAAATGGTCCCTTGGTGATAAAAGGAGGACTTTGTTGCCCACACTGCCTCGAGCACGGAGTCCTTCTGTGGAAGCTAGAAAAAGGTGTCCCTGGTGGAAGGATCCACACTTGCAGAGGCATGGATGAGGGAGCAAGCACCACCTTTGGTCAAAGAGAAAAAGCTACCAGTTCTCTAGGTAGAGGAAGCCCTACCCCCAGATTTCAGCTCACATTCAGGCATTCCTGTAACCCTCATTCCAACAGCTCTGGCTTTAGTTCTGGTCCTGTCTGCTCTAATTCAGTCGTCACAGGATCGTGTCTGAGCCTCAGTTTTTTGCCCAAACAGCAAGACGGAATTGAATTGTAGTTTCTGTGGCTTTCTTCACTTTCAAAACAACAAAAATTCAGATGGAATTTTCCACTTACTTGCAAACAACACTATGCAACCTGTAGACTGTGATTTCTGAGTTTGGCTTTCCTAGGCCATCTGATGGCACTCCCTGAATATTTGAATGGAATTATGCATGGTTTGATGTGGAGCAGATTATAAAAATGAATGCTTTAGTACATCCTCGATGTTCCAGGTGTAAAGCAACATGGCCAACCAGCAGAACGGGAACAACCACTCCCTGCTGTCAACATGACACAAGATGAGATCTCACAAGACAGCATCGGCTACTGAGGCCTTTACCCATTCTCTATGGGGCGGATGGCACACTCCTTGCTGAAGCTGCTGCCTCTCCCAGGCCACCAGCGCACCCAGGAAACAAGAACTGTGCAGAGCCAAGGACTGCTTTCTTTGTTGATGTTGTTACCAGAAAACAGAAATTAGATCCTTGCCCAGATGTACCTATCATGGAGTCTGAGTGCCAGCAAGGCTTCCACAGTGGAGAGCAAACAAATAAAAACCAACTTCACATTTCACCAACAGTTAACCCTGAAGTTAGGCTGAAAGTTTCCTAACTGCATACACCTGGAGCGACCTCATTTGGGCACACTTGGATGTTACCAGAAAGAAGTTTTGCTCCTATCTGTTAATATTTCTAAAATGAATCTTGCTACTGGTTTGTATTCTGTTTGTGTCTTGAGCAAGGCATAGGGTTTTGGAAACAATTATAATGAATTCTACCACTTCAGAAAGGGAAACTGGATCTCGGGAGGGGGTAGAAAGTGGCTCTAGGTTACTTTGGAATCGAGTGCTTTTGTCATTCTTCTGGCACAGAGGTGTAACCAGCATTCAGGTTCAGTGGTGGAAGGCCAGCAGCATACAGCCCCGTAGTTGAATTTCTCATTTTCAGAGAACAAATGTTCTTAGCACTAACCAGATCACAAGTGGCAGAAAGTAAACCTCACCTTTACCAGTACACACTGCAAGAGTGGGTGTGGTCTCCCATTGGCTAGACATGCCTCAGGCTCCCAGAGGCTAGAATAAGACAGAGCAGTGCCTTTGCGGTGAAATCATAAGTCCTGAAGTTCTCTGAATTAACACTCCAGTCTTGCTAGACAGTTCTGGTCCTTCCAAAGCAAGCTACCCACTTTCTTGCTGCCTACTGTCTGCGAACAAAATTGTTGTGGTCCATTGCTCCTGGGTTGTCCCAGTTATAAACTGTGGTCGGAAGATAAAATGGGCAAGGGTGAGAAGACAAATGCTGTAACAAGGCTCCCTTTATTAAGCAACTCGGACACAGCATGCCTCAGCGAGCTGACAGAATCACTGAGAAGAGGCTCTCCAACAGAGGCTGACAAAGAGCAGCCTGTGAGAAGAGATTTCCGAATCTTCACCAGCAGCAGCCCCTCTCCAGCAGCCGGGCAATAGCTCCTGAGGCAGGGGGATTAAAGATGTTCTTCCATCTTCACTGGGGTGAACTTGTGCTGCTGGAGCCTCTGCGTGACTGTTTTAAGGACAACTCGAAGGCTGATCCTCAGGGAGCACCGCAGAGGGGAATCAGAAGTCCTGTTGAAAATAGCAGTCCTGACGCTCCACGCAAGGGGGTGCTGTAGCAGTCCTTATCCCAGTGGTGGCTTCATTAAGTCTGTGATTCTCACAGCCCTGCAGACTGTGTCAGGGGCTCCTCAGACACAAGCCAAGCCTGCTGTTAAGAGTCTGAACTCTCCCTCAGCCATCAGCACCAAGAGAGGCCACAGAAAAGCAGCAAGCCACAGAGGCCTAAGGCCAGTTCACACACTGACTCTAGATGTGAGGTGCTGAGTACCAGCCTATCATGCTGAGCTTTTGAATATGCAGCAAATTAATGGTGTTTGTGTGAGCGTATGTGTGGTGTGTGTGTGTGTGTGTGGTGTAGTGTTTGTGTATCTGGGTGCTGTTTGAGTGTGTTTATGTCTGTGTGGCATGTTTGGGAGTTACTGTGGTGTATGAATGGCAAGTGTGTGTTTCTGTGGTATATTCGTTTTGTATGTTTATCTGTGTGGCGGGTAGTGTGTGTGGGATGTGACTCAGTGTGTGATGTGTGCTTGCGGGTGCGACTAGGCTCTGAATTATGAACTGAAGAAAACCAGAGAAGACAGAGAAAAGGCAAAGTGAGCAAAAGTTCGGAACAGAGGAGGAATCTAGCAACTCATAGTATCCTGTTAATTTATACCATGGCTCTGTACAAAAATAAAAAGGTTCTTCTAAGATTATCAATTTAAATAAATAGTCAATAGAACACTCTCTTTTTCTATAGCTCATCTTTGGGGTTAATATTCAGTCCATGCTTCCTGTGCTGTTCCTGGTCCAAGATGGCGATCACTTCATCAGCCTGTATCCGTTCCTGCAAAAAGACAATTGACACATTTCTAGGATAAGCATAATAGCCAGCCCAGGCAACAGATGCTCCTGCAACACTTCCAGCCAGCCATCTGTGCACAGACTGGTGCTTCCATCCAGTCAGGGATAAGCCTGCTTCATCCAAACTGGGGAATTCTCCATGCATCCTCATGTTCTAAGCAATTACCTTCTGAGACGCCTCCTGAGGAGAAGGTTCATGCTTTCTACCCTTTCTGTCTCATGGTCCCATCACCATCTTCCGCTCAACTCTGCTTAGACTGATCTCACTGTTTTCTCCCCTAAGATATGTCATGCTCCTCTGTCTCTCATAAAAGACTACTGTAGCTCACCATTTGTCTGAAGAGCCAGGCCTTCATCTCCTGTCCTTGATAAGACTTTTGTCCCTGGCTTTTTGTGTCCTGTTTCTGTCTATGTCTTTTCATGGAGAATGTCTGTCGCCTTGTTTTAGGCCAGAGTTTCTCAGTCATAGTGTGACTGACATTTGAGAGAGAGAAGAGAGAGAAGGGGGGTTTTCCTGGGCACTGTTGATGTTAAGATTGCTGGTCTACAAGATGTCCCCACATTGTGAGGACTGAAGTCATGTGTGAACATTGTGAAGGTCCCATAAATAGTTAAGTGCTGCGTCTTAAGAGCAACCCATCCAGATCCTTCTCATTAGTGCTCTAGAAGATTCCAAACAAGTTTCACGCATCACTCAGGCTCCTGTGGGACATTCTCCCTTAAGTCTAACAGCAACATTTTCCTATGAGGGCCTCAAAATCCTTCAGTTGGTTCCAGGTTCTGTTTTGTCCTGCCTCTCTGCTCACCTTACATTACAACTCCAGATTATCTCAGTCTCTGAGTGTTCATTCTCGAAATAGTTTCCCCGCTCTAATCTCAGCAAAACCCTTCCCTGGATGCTTTCAGTACAGCCTGTGTTTTCCTTTTCCCTATACCAGTCCAGCACAGGTCCAGCACGTCTTCCTCCCAACTTCACAGGCAACCTTCCCCCCAGGGTAAGCCATCATTTACCAATGGTATTCCTCTAATCTAAGTCCACATGGTGGCTAAAGTCATCTTTTCAGTCCAGGCATTCTCTAGGACACGGGAGCTTACAAGGGTGTGAATTGTGGAGGGTGGCTTCAATGGCTTCTTAGCAGCGCCAATAAAATCTATGTGCCTTAATATAAATGTGGCCCTTATCCTCACGTCCAGATCTCATTGTTTAGAAATCATTCTGTTCTAGCTACCCTGACCTTTTTCTGTTCTGTTTTTATTTGTTTGTTTGCTTGTTTTTTTCTTTTTCCTATACAGAGTTTTCTAGTGATCAAGGTTTTTCCGTGTAGCCTTCACTGTCCTGGACTTGTTTTGTAGACCAGACTGGCCTTGAACTCACAGAGATCTGCCTGGCTCTGCCTTTGTGAACGGTGGGATTACAGGTGTGCACCACCTCACCCGGCTCTCTGACCTTCTTTTTGTAGGCTGTTTGGTTTGGTTTTTGTCTTGTCTCATTGGTTGGTTCTAGGGATTGGATCCACAAGCTTGCGCATGCGAGGTGTGTACTATGGCACTGAGCTGTCTCCCAGACCATTTTTGTATCTTGACAACATTACTCTAAGCCTCTTTTTATCTCTGGTTTTCTTCAAGTTGTCCTCTGCCGGGAAGACTTTTCCTGTAGTGTTCCTTTTGGTTGGCTCTTCCTGCCACTTGGGTTGCAGCTCACATGCTACCCATTTGGACCTAGTTTGTCAACTATCTACTGTTAAGTTAGTTATCAGTTACGCTATTGTATTTTCTATGTGTCACTTATGGGTGTTGAAGACAGTCTTCTGATTATTTACATATTTTTTTCTTGTTTTGTATTTTTTTCCTCTTTTAGAATGTAGGTCCAGGAAACTCCATGAAAGTAGGAGTTTTGCCCTATCCAAATTCTGTCCCCCATTGCCGGTCCCTAGTATAGTTTCCAGTACACTAAATTATGACAGCATCTATATCCTGACTTGAAAACAAAGCTCTTGCTGCTGAGGGGCTGAGACTTATAATGATGTCATATACAGGCAACTGAAAAGAACAAACACACTGAGCAATAGAAAACTACATAGTTACATCTGAAAGCACGGTACTTAGCAAGCCCTCACATGGGAAGCTCTCACATTTGATGAGCACCAAAAAGCACTGGCACATGCTTCTTTTTAAGGGAAGGAACCCATGTGTTGGGACAGATGTCTGCGAAGCATCTAATAGCTTACATCTTACATACGTATGTGACTGAATACCTCCTGAAGATGCAAGTGTTTGTAAAGGGAGCTTTCATTCCCCTGGTCCAATCGTTGTCTCAGAGGATTACTCCCTCTGTCTGCTAAGCTAGGCTTGGAAGCTTCTAGCCTCTGTAAAATCTAACCTAGGCATAGAATGTTTTCAGCCTTACTGCTTTGTTGTTGTTGTTGTTGTTCTTCCTGAGCTCTGCGCTGGCTGGTTCAACCCATCCATTCTGGCCCAAACTCCTCTAGAAGCTAACTTATTCAATTTGACTTTTCTTTTCCTCTGAATTGTTCTGCTTGGCTTTAAACTATCTCCAGCAATCTTTTTAATCCCCTGGTGCTCTCTCATTCTCTGGCTTGGCTTGTTTGGTCTTCTCCTGAGTCCTTTCTCTGCAACCGGTCTCTCTATTAATGTCCTGGTAAAACTGCCTTCTATCTCTATATTGCCCCTTAAGTAGCTTCCCGTTCCTCTCTCTTCTCATGAGAGTTGGGCGTATTCTAGTCTGTCAAACATTTCTCTGATTCATCACTTTTTCTGTTATTCAACTAGACATCACTTTCAAACATGGGCGCTTCCTTCTACAAACTATTTATACCTTCATTGCTTGGGATTAAAGACATGTACCACTATGCCTGAACCTATGCTTTTCTTTACCTGAAACTTGCTTTATACCAGGCTGTCCTTGAACTCAGATCTGCTTGCCTCTGTCTCCTGAATTAAAGGCATGTTTATATTCCAGCCAGATCACAAAGACCTAGAAGGTCTTTGGATGTGATCTCTTGCCAGAACAACCATGTTTCAAATTAAAACTCCTCTACATGTATTTATTTATTTGTCTATTTATTTATTTATTTACATTTTTATCTATTTATTTATCTGTGCATTTATTTCTTTATTTATCTATCTATTTATTTATTTATTATTTGGTTTTTCAAGATAGGGTTTCTTTGGGTAGATCTCACTGTCCTGAGACTCTCTCAGTAGAGCTGGCTGGCCTCAAACTCAGAGATCTGCCTGCTTCTGCTTCCTGGGTGATGGGATTAAAGGTGTGTGCCACCATGCCCATTCAGTAATTTATATGAAAAAATCTGTTACTTATTTTTCTTGGACAAGATTTCTTTGTTCAGGGATCCTAACCACAGAATCACAAACTTTGTTACATATTAGAATGATATGGGGAGTTTTCAAGTACTGATACTTAGATAGCTCCATACACAATTACATATGGGCATCTGAAGATAGAAATCAGGCATTAGTTCTATGCGGGAGAAAATTAGTGTCAATACAGAGGAGAAAATTTTCCATTAGCAACACTGAGAGGTGCCTGTCCTTTCCTACTGTGACCACTAGATGCCGCTATAATCTGAAGAGTGGAGAAGGTTTTTAGTACTTTTCCAAGAGGCTCGAACACCGGTGTTGAAGCAACTCGTGTAGGAAGGCGCATCTGAAGGGTTTGCATTGATTGTTTTAATAAGATGTTGCACTGCATTGTGAGGGAGTGACGGATGTAAAGTCATATGAAATTCATGCTAAAATAGGGTGCTGATTTTTCCACAATTTGTTGTGCAGACCTCAACACGGGGGTAGCTGTACTGGCGTATTGTAGGTTTAAAACTCAAGGACTGAGAAATGGCAGGCGAAGGAGGCTGCTGTGCTTCCCACAGAGTTTTCTGGGCTCTGCCGGGTTCTATCCAGCGGCGCCATTTTCGTCTTTCTGTGCCAGGCTGCCGTCTTTATGTCTGAGGTAAGGCAAGCCTTTACAGCCTTACAGCACACACTTCCCCTTCAGATGCTACTGTGATGTGCTCCTTTCCTCACTGCTGGACTTCCCTTGTTGCCAGGGGTTCTCTTCTGTCACCCTCTGCACTCTAGAGACCTACCAGGCAACGGAGAAAGTGCTTCAAGAGTGTGGGCCAAAAGAAAATGCTGTTTCTGATCACGGAAAGGGGGATATTCCTCAACTGCTGCTTCTGAAACTGGATCAGGTTTAGAAATTGAAACAAAAAAATATGATGACACCATTCTACGATTAGAATTCCAGGGGCTGGGAGATGACCTTGGGTGACGCATAGGGCTCTTGCAGAGGCCTGGTGGTTAGTTCCTAGCTGCCATGTCTGGTGACTCATTCTGACTCCAGGGAGTTAGGAGTCCTCATCAGAACTCTACCCGCACTCACACAAGCACCCATAATTACAAGTTAAATACATCTTTAGCTGCACTTAGTGCATGCCTTAATTCCAGCATTCAGGAGGCAGAGGCAACAGGATCCATATGAGTTCAAAACCAGCCTGGTCTACATAGTGAGTTCTAGTACAGCCAGTTCTACACAGAGATATCCTGTCTCAACAACAACAACAACAGACAAATCTTTAAAAGGGTAAACTAGAACTTCATCTCTCCACCCTCACTAGGGTTTCAGTAGACTTTGAAGGCAGCAGTAGACTTCTGTGTTGGCTTCAGGTCCACCTTTGGTGACCACCGGAAACAGTCTCTCAACCTCCAGTGGAGCTCTGATGAGCTATTTTCAAGCTGATAATTCCACTGAACCAAGGTGAGGACTCGGAGGTTCCTCATTAAGGGAACCTGACTGTTCTCTCCCAGGAGTTTCTATTCTGCCTCTGGGGTCTGAGCCTCAGGCCTCTTGACAGATGGCAACAGTAAGTTTCCCGGCCACTTCAAGTATAATATTATTTCAACATTCTACTTAATAGTGTAACAAATAATAATGACCTTCCAGGTCTCTTTATTCTTTCCCACACATATGCTTCATAAACTAGTCAGTGGTGTTTTAATGCTCCCCTAACCTTTCTGGCGCCCAGGAGAACGTCCTTGGCTGCCAGTGGTGCAGTGTGTCAGTGAGCTCAATATTCAGCATCCATGGCGACAAGCACGGTGCACTAATAGATCTACCTCTGCAAATGTCTTCACAGTTAGAATTCAAACTGGGTAACAGGCGCCTTCCCAGCTTTCACCACAGAAGTCACTACAGGCTTCGGAGTGACACCAAGGACTTCACAGAGAGGTCGGTCCGGGAAGCTGGGATGCCTTCTAGGCCCCTGTGAACTCACCAGTTCCCTGTAAAGAGGGTCTAGGGTGAACCACAGAGCCACGGCACAGCGCTGGCCTTTGGTGACCGCCTTCACCCCATGAGGGTTCTCGCCGCCAGATGAGAAGCTGATCATACGCCCACACTTTGGTTTTATAGAGGCCTGACAAGAAAATACAAATGAGAGTTTCAGTTCCCATGCCCTGTGTCCTTCTATCATTCCCTCAGCGCGGCTGTTTACTTGGGTAAAAATCTGAAGCAAAGAACGATGGAGTCTTAGTGTTGAAAAAGAAGAATACAGAATGTCTCAGTTTTTCTTTACCTGTCAAATATAAACTGCTTCAAAATAACATTTACCCTTTGTAATATAATAAATACACTTAAGCAGCAACATGTATGACACATCCGTGTACTTCGGGATCACATGGCATGTGCTCTGGTGATAGCCGCCCATTCAAGAATGTAAACCTTCCCTTTTAGCGCACTACAGCAGCTCTTGGCACTACCAATACATTGATGTTTAAGGTGGGTGAGAAGGTTAATACCTGTGAAACCGGAAGGAAACCAGGACGTGAGGGGTCTCGCGGTTACATGCTTGCACATCCTTTGCAATTCTCCAACCAAACAGCCATGGCTTATGCTGTTGTGACCATATGAAGTTTTGAATTTGTTTCCTTTACTTTACTCTTATCCATGCACAGGTCATCTAGGCATCGTGTGGTGGGAATGCACCAGCCCTTGGGGTGACCTGCTCGTGGTTCCAGGGGTTTGAAATGACTGACAGGACCATTCAACGCTCGCACACTGCTCAGCTGCCCGCTGATGTTTTGGCAGGGCAGTATACGGTGAGCGAACACAGATGGCTGAGGGCACTGGGCTGCAGTGCCCGAGCACCAGGAGGCTCTTCAGGCTGACCAAGCATAAGCAGCTCAGTGTTGGAGCCTGTGGCCCTGTGTCTTAAGAGATGTGCAGTAGGAGCTGAGGCTACTTTGTGTCCTTCAGGAAATCATGAAAGCTTACTCGCTTCATTGGGCCTGGACAAGAACAGACAGTGCACAACAACAGCAGCCCCGGCCTGTGTGTGTGTGTGTGTGTGTGTGTGTGTGTGTGTGTGTGTGTGTACCTGTGGTGCATTCCACAGCTATGGGACTGTTTTTTGTTTTTTTGTTTTTTGTTTTTTTTGTTTTTTTCTAACCCTCTTAGGAGCATGTCTGGAACTTTTTTTTCTAAAATTCTTGAACATATCATTTACTCTTGTCCTGTGACTGAGAGTGGCAAGCTAGAAGTGGGCAAAATCAAAATTAGGAACCCCAGTTTGTGTGTGTGTGTGTGTGTGTGTGTGTGTGTGTGTGTGTATTTTGTGGTGGTGTGGTGGGGATCATACACATGTGTGCAGGTGCCCATGCAGTCCATAAGACCACATGGATCCCCGGAAGCTGGAGACTGAGGTCGTAGCGAGCAACCTGACGTGGGTGCTGGGAGCCAAACGTTGTCCTTCAGTGTCCAGGGCGGGAGAGGGAGAAAGGAAACCTTCCCACTTCTCTTGAAATTGGATTAAGTTTTTTTTTTTTTTTTTTTTTTTAGCAGAAAGGAGGAAAATGGAAATTCCTCATTTTTAAAAATTTCTATGTGATAATTTTAATTATCTACAAAAGCCTGAAAACATGATTAAAAACACAAAATACTACTGAGCTTTTCCACTAAAAGCTTAACACTTTTTCTTTCACTTTTTGGAGGGAAATAGGTTCTGTGGTAGATGCCTCGATGGTCAGAATTGTAGAATTGAGTAACATGGAGCACATCCCCCGCTTTCACACAGAGAAGTAGCAGGATAGTAACATGCCAGCACAGCAGCATCAATCATTGGGAACTTCCAAATATGGCCACTAGAGGGAGTAGAGACAAAGGAATATTCGACCAAACTCTTAGAAATCTTCTGATTTTTCTTTCAAACGATTTAAGACATGAATAATTTTTCTTCTTCAGTTTCTATGTTTTTAAAGCTTGGAAATAAAATGGTTTTTGTACATATCTCTCCCAAAAGTGAGAATCCTTTACATGGATTTCAAAGTCCAGGCCAGATCATAAATCTTGGTTTATTTTCTCAGAGCGTAAAGCCTCAAACTACTTATTGATTTATTTGTCTTCTTAAACAAAAAGTGAGGCAGAATGTCTGTGTGAATATACATCATTGTATTCAACTGCACAAAATATTTAAAACCGTAACAGTGTTTCTGGGAACTACCCCCACATCCTCATAGGAATCCCTTTTAAGCCAATGATATACAGCCTGGGACGTCACCCACTTTGACCATGGATGGCCATGGATAGTTCCCTGTTGAGAAAAAACGTGCAGTCTAAGACTGAATGCAGAGTTTTGAAAATTGCTTACATAATGCCAAAACCTTGAAGGTATCCTGCACAGATGCCAACTAAGATTTTGCAGAAAGAAAGAGACTTTATATAAATTTATAACTTATAAGCTCTTCATATTGAGATTCGGTGTTCTTATGGTGTGTTTGATATTTGGCTTAAAGATCAGAAGAGTTGCACTATATCGCCTGTAAATGGTAAGAGCTGGTTTCTGAAGGCTTTGGTTTGGTTGTGAGTAAATATTAGTGAGTATAAATATGCACTTGGAGGTAAAAGCTCGTGGCTTGTACTTAATCGTATATATCAATTTGCATGCACACATGGACACATTTGGAAGTTCATGCTCAATTTGATCCCGCTGGTTACTTGAAGCCATTGCTTTGTCCTAGACTTATGCTTGAAGATTACTTGACAGAGCACCAGAACCTCCCGGCTTTGATTCTAAGTCTAACATTATGTATATGGCTGTGGTCAAGTCCTCAACATTCCTATTGCTCAATCTGTTCATTTTTAAAATGGACTAAAATAGTGACTATACCTAATACTTTTATTATCTATAAACCACCAAGACCCTCTTCATTTCTTGAATTCTTGAGCCCAGAAGCATTCGAAATTCAACAATCTGCAATCTTGAAGGAAAAATACTAAGTATCTTTTAAGGAAGAGGCATACTCACAGTCACGGTTTTAGCATCCATCTCAGTAAAGATGAATTCTCCTCCTTCAAAGTCGTCATTCATGTACAGGAGAGCACTACAAGGAAAGGGAGAGGGCATTCAAATAACAGTAAAGTGTTCAAATAACAGTAAAGTGAAGACTAGTACTGTAGGGCCCAGTCTTTGACAATGACCCTTCATACCCTTGACATTAAGCTCGGGGGCAGTTTGGGTTATACTCTTGATGCTTATCTATTCCATTTACATTCATTCCATTACATTTAATAAATCAGGCTTTAATTAGATAATTCTATAAACCCATCCTCACTGTTTCTTCCACATTCTTCTTCCCACCTATAAAGCAGACCCAGGGAATCTTTCCTTCTTTCTTTCCTTCTCTTTCTTTCTTTCCTTCTCTTTCTTTCTCTCTCTCCTTCCTTCCTTCCTTCCTCCCTTCCTTCCTTCCTTCCTTCCTTCCTTCCTTCCTTTCTCTCTCTCTCTCTTTCTTTTTTTTTTTTCCCCATTAGCTTAGTTAATGAATTCCTATGACCTAGCCTGGCCATGCAGATAGGGCTTGCTCGCTACATGTTTTGAATAAAATACAGTTTAGAAACAACTGAGGTGTTATTAAACACTCACAGTGACTACATATTAAGATCTACTGTTGCATGCTGGACTATTTTCTCTTAATGTACCAACATCTCTTCTTATATATACAACAGCATTCTTTTTGAGTTTCTATTTTCCTTTCATTTTTCCCCAGCATAATATTTTAATTGATTACTTGGGGATTTCATATCATGCACCCTGATCACACTCATTTTCCAGTCTTCCCAGGTCCTCCCCCTTGCCAACCCCCCTAAAAGAAGAAAAACAAAGACTAAAACAAACAAACAGCAACAAAGTAAAACTATGTTGCTCAAATACTCACTAAAGCATGGTCAAACTGCCAGTGGCCAGCCCCTTACACAAAATTGAGTCCTATCCCAGAGTTTCTATTTTCTTAATGGGAAAATGCAGACACACTTCTCGGTGAGTGTGACTCATACACGCGTATGTGATAAAGTGTTAGGTATGTTGGAAGACCATATCCTGTGCTCTCAGAGTAGGAAACACATGCAAGATAATATGCCTTAGTGAAACTGATTTACAAAGCGAGTCATCTGCTTAGGAGATAAAATGGGCACGATGCCTAAGGTAAAAATGAGAAGCCTCTCTCGAGGTCACGGCTGCTGCTCCATGTAGCTCCTCGAGATCTCTACTTCACAGAGGTGGATAAGGAAGCAAGACAGCCAAGCAGCTTCCCACGTTCCACAGAAGCTTGGCCGGAAGCAGCGTCTACCTGTAATCACGGAAAGTGTAAGCCGGAGGCTCCTTCCAGCACTCGTTAGCTTCTGGATCCAGCAGGCAGTTGTCGGCATGAATGGGATGGCTGAGGTCATTTCTTCTGTCCTGCTGCCCTGCCAGAGGAAGGAACGGGGAACAGTGAGAGCAGGCAGGATAAAGAACGACAGCAGAAGTGCCACATGCCACAGTTAAAAGCACAATTCGACAGTCATCTTCAGCTCCTGGCTGTGCCTTGCAAAGGTGGAGAGACAGGCGGCAGCGAGGTAAAAGAAAAACAGCGGTCGGGGGAGACCTGTGGTTCAGCGTAAACTTGATACCAAACTTGGGCCAAGGCACATGGAATACATATACCTGGGTAAATCCCATTCGTTTTATGGGCTGTATTGCATGTTAGGGTAGCAAAAGCTCAAGAGACGTAAGCCAAAGGTTTTGCCCCACAGTGTAAAGGGCTCTGATATACAATTCCTTTCACTCTCATTGACATGAGTGAATAAAAAAAAGAAAAATGACAATAAGCAGGAGTAATGGGCACCTGGCTCTCAGAACATTCTTTGGCGAGCTTCTTATTGTCTCTACCTCCCCTCTATGCTTGTAGACACAACTGTAATTTCCAGCTTCCAGGGTCCCCGAAACTCGGAGCAGAGAAAGCATTTTTTTTTTCCCTTCATGTCTTAGCAATTATGAGAAATGGCCAGAAAAAAAATTGACAGAATGGGGGTCTCCCAGAACTTTAAGAGTCAAGAGGGAGAGAAAGAGTTAGTAAATTTTTATTGTTTTAGGAAGCGAGGGTTCTCATAAATTACCACTCTAAAATGTAACAGAGCTTTGCTTTCTTTCCTGTGGCATTCTGGGAGTCAGGGGACAGGTTCAGGTTCTGGAAGCCTACCAGACAAGGCTGTTCTGCACACCATGTGGGTATAGGAAAAATACAGGGTTGAGTTCAGCAGGAAATAGGATTCCACGATCTTCCGGGCCTTCTCACTGATGTCATAGAACAGCCGTGCACTCTTCAGCGGCACCCGGCCTTCGTAACCAAACTGCAAAAAAACAAAAACAAAGAGCCGAGGGGACATTAGAGATCATGGGGTTGAGTGGAGGCCTGGAGACAGACTGGCTCGAGGTTTCATTAAGAGAATACAGACTGGCCATCTCCGCACCAACTCCCAGGAGTAATAAATACCATGTGCTTGTGGGTTCAGATGGAACTCTGAGCCACTGGAACAGCTCTTGTAATCACAGAGGGAAAACGACAAGCCAATTGTGCTCTCTTCCCGTCCCCCATAATACATTCCTCATCCTTCTCTAATAACTCTTCCCAAGAAGAGGAGAATTACTGATCTTGGGATGTTTTTGTCATTAGCTCATGAGCTCCTTGAGGACAGTGGTCACTTAGTTTTCGGTGAGATACAGACTTGGGAAGCACGAAGCTTGGTAAGTGGATACCAGAAGGCAGGGATCATCTGAATCGACAAAATGGCTGGGGGTTGGAGGTCCTTGGCAAACCATGTGCTATGGATGAACCCATGGCCCCAAAGCAAAGGACAAAGCCACCGACTGAGTTTCCACTTCGCACTTGCTCCCTTCTAAACTCTCCTTCTTCCTGAAGGTGCCATCCCCTAGGAGCCCAGGCTTAAAGGGAAGCAAAAGATTTACTTTGAGTGCCTTCAGCACAGTTGCTCCTTCAAACTTTTCATTGGGTGTGTGTGGTGATGTTTTCCCTCGGTATCCATCACCAACCAGCATAATTCCCTGAGGACAAAATGGATTAAAATGCTCTATTAGTGACAAGTAAGCCCACCTGGGCTACCTCTCTGCTTTGGCTTCCAGAAGCTGAAAAGCCAATGCCACACTTAGCACCATTTAATTCCATCGTCCAGGTATCACCAATTCAAACTGGCAGGGGAGGGGGTATTTTTCTATGATCTTCAGTTCATTTTCATTATAAAATACTATGCTTTTATAGACATGTAATACAAAACGTTCATATATTGGCTAACTTCTGGTTAAAATAAAGAGACTTCTCCACTGACATGCTGGATGGCTATACTCCTAAGAACTCAGCCAGAGGGAGTTTCAGTTCATCCTAATTCAAAAGCTATGAAAGCTTGGTTGGTTACTGTCTTCTGTCTAAGCAAGCAAAATTCCAGCCTAAAGCTGCCCCCCAGGCTCGGGACACCCTAGCACAGGGGCTGCCTTCCTCCAGGACACTGTCCTCCAGGCTGAGGATAGACTGACAAACGGTCTCTTCTCCTCTAGGTCATTGCCTCCAGGCTCAAGATAAGCTAGCATTAAGGGTTCCCTGTCTACAGTTCTCACGCTGGCCACGCTGTGCAGTTCCCGGCACTGCTCTTCGGACAGGACATTATCCAGGAGAACTCGCTGAGTCCCGTTCAGCTGTTCGGAGTTGTAGACGAAGGTGATGTTCTCGTAGAGCAGAGGGCCACCTGGAGCAACAAAGGAGAGTGTCTTCCCTGCTACGTTCATCCTCTAAGAAGGAACATAGAAAACTCTGCCGTCTACAGTACACAGCACAGAAGATGCAGTCTCCATAGGAACACAGACAAATCACATAGCTTGATAAATATTTAGGTCTCTCGAACCAGGGGACAAACTGCTAAGTGGGGTGCCTATTAACATATCAAAGCAGACGGCAGACACTGTAAGGGTCTCAGCTCTCAGCATCCAGCACCTGGCATAATCACTGGGACCCTGAACTATCCTGATCAAGGACTGGGCTGTATTTCTCTTCCTCATATAACCCAGCCAGTTTAGCTAAGTTGATCTTTTGGTCTTTCTGGCCCCACTCTCTTATATTCCATTCTCCTGGCCTTTTGGCTTCTGGCTCTTTCCTCCCCCTTCTCCTCACAAGTCAAGTTCAGTTTGCTGGTTGCCTTGACTCTGGACACTCCCAGAGGTCTCTGCCTTTGCTTGTGTTCTCCCTTACGTCTAAAATAAAAACCTTGACCCATTAGGAGCAGTCACATCTTCCTTTTACCTCCTTTTTCATCCAAGAACCACAATACAGACTGAGGGGAAAGGCAGATACGTGAGTCCCAGCTCTCCCCACGGCATTATAAAGCATTGAAGGTGCACGGGTCAAGCTACTTGTTTTTTATTTGTTTCTGGGTGATCCTAGAAAGCAGAATTCCACTTGTCACAGCAACCGCTGCGGGAAGAAGCCCTTCTTCATGGTCCTCTCATTTGTAGCACTGATAGAGTGCCACAGGCAATGCCACGGTGCACATTCCTGCTCTTCAAGTACAGCATGGATGCCCCAGGGCTGGTGTCCAGATTTCTTCCATATGGGACTCAGACATCAGAGAACAAGACATTCCTGGCTTCCCCAACACAGCTACAATGTGCTCTTGCATTTACAGCGTTAGTTTTCTTCGTTTGAGTGGTCCCTGTACTGTTTTAGAAACATTAGCCCCACATACATAGGCTCCTCGGAGAATGCGTGGGATGGAAGAATGCAGCCTCTGATGGTGAGAAAGATGAAGCAGAGACTGAACAAAGAAAGAATACAATTCTTTCCCCTTTTATAGACATAAATGTAAGAACCGGATAAATTCCCGAAGATACCACAGCTCCACAAGGAAGGCCAGCTGTGGAAGGCACAGGCAGGCCCAGGGCACTGTCAGGGGAGTGAGAAGACATCCACTGAAGGAAGAGGAGACACAGAAATTGATGTTTCCTTTATCACTGTGAGCAGGTTAGTCAAGCTGGGGAATAACACTATGCGTTAGCCTGGTTTGGATCTGCGCTTCGCCACAGACATGACTAATGAACTCTGAAAGAAGGAGGTAGAGTTTATCAGTCTTGAGCAGTGCATAGCCATCTGTCAGAGCAGATGTTCCTGAAGGAGAGTCAGCGCTAAGTTATCTCTGAGGTAATTTTTCTTCCACATGTGCAATCATGAAGCCATGTCTATATTATCTACATTTATGTTTCATATAACTTAGAGCCAAAAATTATGAAACTGAAGGAAAACAGGAATGTAAAAGAAACTGTGGCCAAATCAGCAATATTAATGAAAAAGGTTGACTCTATTTTGCTTAAAATAAAATACCAGGTTCCACATGAACATTCCCCCAAATGATGGGGGCAAGGTTCTTTGGGACTAGCATTTCTTTCAGTATCCTGCTGTGTAATGCTGTGTTTTTTTTATCACATTTTAATATTGAAGCTACTATAAGATCTAGTAAAAAATTTAATTAAAAACTTAAAATTTTAGTTCTAATCTAGCCTTGCCACATTACTTATAAGCTTATCAATTTTGTTTATTGTTAATCTGCAGTCAGTCATTCAATCAAGCAACTGGTGTGACCTGAGCTCACGTCTCCCCACTAAGTCACATATCTATAGAAGAACTCAGCTCAACGGTGGTCATTCAGATGACCTAGTCATTACTTCTGTTAAGTTCAAAAATTATTTCAAAAATTATAAATGTAGAATTTCTTGGAATCTGAGACTAAATTCATACAGTTCTCAGTATCACATATTTTGGATAATCAGAAAAATAAGTCATCTCCTTTTATAATTTGATGTTTCTTAAAACATAGTGAATGGATTTGAAATACTGAATTGGGTAGAACGTAAAAATGACTTTAAACTTGAAATGTGAAGCTAGGCTTTATGAGTCTCCCAAATAGCTCTAAACTATGTAGTAGTTTTTGGCCTCTTGTCAAAATTCCTCCTCCTCTCCTACCACTTCTCTTATCTGCTATGCTCCATGCCTCTCATCTTTTTTTTTTTTTTCCTTCCTCTGGCTACAGACTCTAAAATAATCCTCTCTGCCTTCTAGATCCCTACTCTCGTGTAATCTGCCTCTCACAAGCGTGAGCATGGCTTGGTAATTGTTTCTGATTCACCAAATACTACAAAGAACATGGGATGTCAGGCCTGTGATAATCTTAGTGGAGACTGACTTCTCCCTGGTTCACTGACCCAGTGTCTTTTTAGCTTATGTGCTTTGATTAGGCAAGTGGTTCTCTTAGCACAGATGTGGCAAAGAACAGAGGGCATCCCCTGGCTGAAAACAAGCCAGAACTGCAGAAGCATGGCCCACCAGTTCTTTAGAATTAATTCTGCCATCTTAACTAGAAGTGTTTGCCAGTTTTACTGGTTAGTTTTATGTCAACTGGACACAAGGTTCCAGTCATTTTGGAAAATGGTTCTTTAATTAAGAAAGTGATCCCAACCAGATTGGTCTGTGTACAAACCTTGGTGCATTTTCTTGACTTTTGATTGGTGTTGGATAGTCCAGCTCACTTTGGGCAGTGTTATCCCAGGGCTGGTTGTCCTGAGTGCTACCAGGGAACAGTCTAAGGAAGTTATGGTGAGTAGGCCAGTAAGTACCGCTCTTCCACCGCTTTCTGCTTCAGTTTCTTTCTCTGGGTTCCTCATTTACTGTGGGCAGCCTAGAGGTCTTTCTGCACACAGATAAGCACTGGGGGAACCTGGAGTGTTAAGCACACAGGATTGTTCCTTCAAAGGTAGGAATGTATAACCTCTTATCTGCTCAGAAGGCTAAGATGTGGTGTGGTTAAAAACCTGGTGACCTTTTGCACTTTCTGGTGGTGGGAGAAGATGCCAGATTCTCTCTCCTAGACTTTTATCCTAAGCCTGTTTTTCTCAGTCTATAGAACCTATTTTTATGGACAGTGTCACATGCAGTCAATCTATCTATCGACTCCATCTTTCTGGAAGGCGCCACACGTACAAAGATTTTCAACGTAGTTACATTTGATTTTTATTCACTTTACTTTGTTCTTTGAGGAGATTTACGTATGCTTTATTGTGCACATGAGACTGAGTTAATGAATCACCAAGAAAGTTTTCACCAAATTGTGCAGTGCTTAAATATATCTGAAATAAACTATTCGGGGTCAGCCTCCCAAAGTTTGAACGAACACTGGATACTTAGCTTTGCTGAACTGAACTGCCTTCTTGCCTCCTGCGAATGGACACTCTGATGGCTGTAGATCCCTACGCTCTGCTTTTGAGTTCCTGCCCCATGTCCCTTCTGTGATGTGGAGCTACAAGCTGAAATAAAGCCGTTTCTCGACAAGTTGCCTTTAGTCACAGTGTTTTAATCAGAGCAACAGGCACCCTAGCAAAGACAGCAGTCAAGCATCAGCCCAGATGTTGCCATAAGCTTTGGGGGAGACCATGAATAAATGGCCTTATCCACACTGTCCCCAGATTCTGACCCACAGAAGTGAGATAACAAGTGGCTATTTTCATAAGCAGATGAAACCTAGATAAAACAAAAATAGTAACAGCCTCCTCACAAGACTTCTTCATATAGTTTGGAAAAGATGTTCCAATCTATGGGACCAATTAGAATTCCTAGTCAATTTGAGGCACAGCATTTCAAACTCAGAAAACTGAATATTTACTCCAACTTGGAAATTTTCAAAAGTACTCCCTTAGCAAGAAAGACAGTTGGAGATTCACAGAAACCATTTGCCAATATAAAATTCAAATAGAAATAGAATATAGAGTTTAGTGCACTGAATTGGTTTGTAATTTTTCAAGTGCCCATTATTTTCTAGTTTGAAGTAATTTGCTTAAATATAATGAGGTTATTCTTAAAAATATGAATGTTAACAATACTGTGGTAAAACATTCAGAAAAAAGCCCTACCACCCACGCTCTGCACAAGTGTTTGTTTCTGTTATCATTACTATTGAATTACCTAGCTGTACTTAGAATACTTTATTAGATTCTGGTGTCAACATTAATAAGCTCGCCTTAATGGGGTATAGTTAGAAGAGGGGTTTGAGTGGTAGAAGCCCCAGCCCTGAGACAAGTAACAGTCAAATGCTGCGTAAAGGCAGAGTGCCGCATGAAGCCTTAAATGTGTAGAACTGAAGAGACTGGAAAATGTGGTATTTGAAATATGCTTTTCATGAGCTAATATAATTACCCACAGGATGTATAGAATTTTGAACAGAAATTTGTCAGCCTTAGAAAGCAAACAAAAGAAAGGGGGTAGGGGAGGAAGCTTGCCATTCATGAGGATGCAGTCAGTCCAAAGATGACTTACAGTAGCTCACCAGACAGAGGAAAATGTGAAAATGAAAATGAAAATGTCATCCAATAGGTTGTGGTTCCTCTAGCCTTGTTTTGAAGGCTGCAGCCAACTTTTAACCACTGTGAGAGGAGATAGAGTTAAACAACTTAATTCTTCTCTCACTCATAAAGTATGTGTCTGGCTCTAATTCCTCGTTGCAGCAACAAAGATCATCTAGCGAAGTGTGCCTTTGTCCTCCCTGCTTGTGGCTTGTGGCAAAAGCAGTGCTATTCCCTTAAAAACCACATCTCACTAGAGATGGGGAGGGGTGCAGCTAATAAGTCCTGATACGAGTGCAACCCTTTCGGGTTTTAAAAGGACCTGGCACTTACCACGTCCCGAACAGCAACCATCTTCCTTCACAGATAATGACCGCAGGGCATAGACGGATTAGGGAATGACATTTCATAGTGTGCTTCCTATCATAACCCATCCTGAAGCCAAGCCTTCAGATTCCAAGGCCAGCAGTATTTCTGCCTTGTCCCCAGTGACTCTGCAATCATTAGTGAGTATGGTCTTTGGAAGATGGGCGTTAAAAGAAGTAACAGAGGTGTCTGCAGTGAGTCATCGTGAATGTTTCTTAGACTGGAGTTAGTGTGGGTGGTTAGTTTGGGTCCTGGAGAGCTGTCCTGTGTTACTATTATTTAACACTAACCTAAGTAGATGGCAGATTATTTTATGGAACGTGCCTCCTGTCTGGCCCACTTTGTATCTGCCTTCTGCCAAGCCATGGAAGTGTTCTGGCCCTCGTAATTTTATAGCTTACCACTATTCTCAATTTGGATCCTATTCAAGTGTCTGAGGGCACTGCAGTTGTGGTATGATAAGAAATGCATTTATATTTTATTACCAGTTCCTAGTTCTGCACATAAAACATTTGCAGTTTCCTGAATAATAGAAGTATACAGTGTATTTTTCATTCACCATCTATATAAAAATCACACCTGAGCTTATACTAATGAAGTGACTTACAGTGTATCCCTTGAATGGATTCAGAATGGGTCTAGTCCCAGAAGGACCAGTGACTAGAGGATACCAGGCTACATTTTGGGGGATGGAGAAGTTGGGAATCAGGCTTTCTGAAAGTCTTGAACACCAGGTTTACATAAGCTTACAGTGGAGGTTCTGGGAGGGCAGATCTGTGCCCTGGTTAAACAATACCTTGTGCTGTGTAAACTTCATCTGGCTGTTCGTTTGTAACCTGTTCATTTGTTATAACTTTTATAGTAAAGTGCTGAGCATGTGTCTGTGCTCTATGATGACATCTGTCAAGTTTATAAAACCCAAAAAGAATCATGGGGTCCCTCATTTGTCCCTGGTCAGGGAGGAAGTCAGTCAGCATAGGTGACTGCCAGCTACTACTTTTGCCACCTGAAAAGGAGAGTGGGGACAAGTCCTAAAACTCTGGGATCTGATGCTGTCTCCAAGTACAGAACAACAGAATTGACTTTCAGTGTCATATTGGTGGTTGCTGGAGCTTTGCTCTGTGGCAGTGGTGGCAAACACCCCACACACGTGCTCACAGAAGCATTCTGTCTTGACTGAAAGAGTAGAATAGAAAAGGGGATGTGGTTTTACTTTCCAGCGTACATCCTAAGATCCATTTGCTAGTTCAACAAAGAGAATAAGAGAACAACAGAAATGGTAGATTTGGGTAACCAACCACTAACCATTGCATAGATTTCCCATACCACCCTTCCTGCTAAACTTAGTCAGTTACTAGACGTCAGATTCCCTGGTAGTTGAAAAGAAAAAAAAAAAAAAAAAAAGAGCTTTGACATCTGGCAAGCACCCTGGAGTTTCCGAAACATTTTCATCAAAGTGCTGGTACAACTAACAACCATTCATGGAGATGGCCTAGAACCCCTGAACAGATGTAGCCCATGGCAGCTCTGTTTCCTTAGTAAGGAGAACAGGGACTGTCTCTGACATGAACTCAGTGGCTGGCTCTTTGATCACCTCCCCCTAGGGGGTGCAGCCTTGCCAGGCCACTGAGGAAGATGATGCAGCCACTCCTGATGAGACCTGATAGGCTAGGGTCAGACAGAAAAGGAGGACCTCCCCTATCAGTGGACCTGGGGAGGGGCATGGAAGGAGAAGCGAGAGGGAGGGTAGGATTGGAAGGGGATGAGGAAGGGGCTACAGCTGGGATACAAAGTGAATAAACTGTAATTAATAACAAATTAATTAATTTTAAAAAAGTGCTGGCACACTGGCAAGTGGTTCCCTGCATGGCTTCTCGGCTTCAAAAGGAACATGAACTCCGGCTGACTAGGCGGCTTGCAGGCTCTGGGCTCCATGGCTACACACTGAGGGCCAGGTCAGAACAGGCGAGCCCACCATCCTGTTTACTGTTTCCAGCCAACTTTGAAGCACAGGAAGGAAAGGGCTGGGAAACCCCAGACCAGAGAGAGCCAGAAGTATCAGGTCAGCCAGGGGGGGTGCTAACCAGCTCTCCTGGGGACAGAAGGACAGACTCCTCAGTGCATGTGTTTTGGTCTCTTGTCTTACAGCTGGAACTGTCCTGGGACTGTCTATATGCAGCACCACATTTGTAGAGGAAACAAAAACAAAATTGTAGGGGGCTGGAGAGATGGCTCAGAGGTTAAGAGCATTGACTGCTCTTCCGAAGGTCCTGAGTTCAATTCCCAGAAACCACATGGTGGCTCACAGCCATCTATAATGAGTTTTGGTGCATAATAAGATCTGGTGTATACATAATAAATAAATAAAATTAAAAAAAATTGTACCTGTACTTAATAATACATTGTGGTTTTCCTGCCATTGCTCCCTAAATAATATACTATGGCATGCACAGTGTTATAATACGAACATAGCACATTGCATTAGGTATCATAAGTAATCTTCCGGTGATTTAAGGGATTCAGGAGGCTGTATAGGTGATCTGACAGTCCTATGCCATTTCATTTCTGGGTTTTGAGCACCTTAGACTCTGATATCCTTCAGATAGGACCAGTTGGGGGCCTAATCCTCATGGATACTTACACCTGTGTACTGTCCATACAGCTTATACTGTAGGCTGTATTTTCGGTAGAACTATTTGTTATCAATGCAGTAGGTATAGAAGAAAACATAACAATCAGGTTCTGAGCACGGCTGTCAGATTCAAGTGTTTGGCCAATGTCACGTGTTGTGAGACATCAGAGAAGTGACTAAATCCATACTTGTGAGAAACTGCTACTATTGAAATGAAGGCTACATATACTTGCTCAAAAATTATATATATATTTATATATATAAATAATAATGACTATTAAGAAGTACTGCTACTATTGTCAACAGTACTCTTGCTAATAGTGTATTATTAGAACAATGCTTGACTCTAGGTAAAAACTGCTTTTAACAGTACTCTGCAATTCCAATAATTCTGTTCTTAGGCCACCAGACATGTAACCTTTTGTTCTCATCTCCTGACCCACTTGCTTTGTCCACTAGAACGGCTCTCTGCACACCCCTATAAAATCAGCCTGAAGCATCTTTAAGTTGGTGTTGTAGATCCGCTTTCAGCATGCACAAGGCCCTGCATTAAATTTATACCATATCATTCTATTCAAAGCCCTGTTCAAATCTATATTATTCAAGTGTCTTAGGTGAACTAACCTAATACCTCACATGACTTATGTCTTCTCCAAGATCCTTGAATATGCAGTCTATCCCACACTATCTAGCACTCACTACCTGGATGAGCAACAGAAATACGTCTACTGACCTCACTTGCCCTCAGGTATTCAGCTGAGGATGGGGAGGACCAGAGAGTCCCTGTCAAATTCAAATGATGGGAGGAGTATTTGGAAAGACTTTTGCAGTAATATACAGATCTAAGGCATTATTGTGTTTAAGTGTTGATTTCAGACATACTTAGTTTTTCAAGACAGGGTTTCTCTGTATAGCCTTGGCTGTCCTGGACTCACTCTGTAGACCAGGCTGGCCTTGAACTCACAGAGATCCACCTGCCTCTGCCTCCTCCCAAGGTGCTGGGATTACAGGCATGCACTACCGCACCTGATACAGATCTATTCTTAATGTTAAAGAGAAATGGATTTGACCTCAGTCTCTTTAAGGATTTTTCCCCACCACACCCTCTTCCTCAATCCTCCTGAAAAGACTTGCAGGCACTTACCTTCTCTTAGTTCTCGGCCTATCTTGGGTGGTGACTTCTTCTTCATTGACAATCCATGAACTTCTGCTCCCTCTATGTTCACTCCTGAAGGGACCCTGTCCATCCAAAAAAGTTGAGACTGCAATTTCCCATAAAATAAAAATGTCCGAATACTGCCAAAAATACTGTATCTACATATGCATTGTTTCTGAATTGTATACCATTCGTCTGTCTTTCTAATTCAAATTAAATGCCCATGCCTTTGTGTGGGTTCTTAGCTTCCTTGGGATACTGTGTTTCTTTCTAAATCTTCCTTGCAGCTTTTATTACAGTTAATTTCAGCTATGATTTCACTCCCTTCACATCAGTCTATTGTCCCAAAGAACAGGAAAAAAAATGATTGTGTGCACCTTCATAATTCTCCATGTTGTACTCTGTCTTGAACATGGACTGCATCACTGAATAATGCTCGAGTGGAGACAAACCATGTCCTAATGTAATAGTTGCTTCTTGACTATTCTGAGGAGAAAGACACAATCTGTGTCAAGCTTTGAAAATACACAAGAGAGTAGATACCCTTTCGACCTACACAGACGTGCAACTCAGAGCTCACAGTGACAGTGCTTTCTCTGATCTGCTGGACGTAAGTTTCTCCCATCATTTCCTGCCTCTGAGCACTTCATCTCACTATAGCAAAAAATGGACGACTCACCGGTTCTCATCCTGCCGTCCTCCGTAACTGACCCAGTAATTCTGTTTTCAGTTGAGAAAGAGGTACACATTTATTACTAAAACGCCACTGATGAAAATAAAAAATGTAAAATACTCTTTATCAAATATTTAGAAGACCTCCAATATTGAGAAACGTTCACTGGGTGCTGATCAAGAAAAGGTTGATGCAAGTTTGGCCAAGGTACCATGGATAACAAATGAATCAAAAGGCCATATGGAATTAGTGAAGGCCTTAGTTCTTTTGCTCTGGAAAGTGACTTGAAATTTGGTAACAGAAGGGGTTTCAAAGATCCTTTCAATGAAAGTGCTTTGTGGATCATGACTAAAACTTGAACAACAACAATAAAAACAAGCTGGATTAGTTATCTGTACAGATTCATTAAGTAGGTGTCATATTCTAATGTCTCCTGGGAAAACATGATTTTTTTAAAAAAAAATAGTTAGTAGGAACAAGTGTACTGCAAATATTACACCAGAAATATTACCTTAAAATAACATAGTTTTTTTAAAAATGTTCAGTGATAATAGCCAAAATTAAGAACACATTTTTAAAAGCTTCAATTAATGATTTCCCCAACATATTAACATGAATATTGCATAAAATATTCACTAATCAGTAGATAAGTAGAAAAACCTATACCTAGGCAACTCAAAGATGAAAAGCAATAGTATGTGAAAAGAAAAAAAAATGCTGTAAACTGGCTATCAGAAGAACAGGAGTTAGGATAGCCATTACATTGCAATTGGCACTTAATGTATGTGAGTAAGGCAGGCGCTTTCCTTCTGTAAATCTGGTGAACTGGTACTTTCATATATCAGTAGAAACAATGAAGATATCCGGAACATTTCCCTAGGAAAGTAGTTACATTTCAAGAACTTTTAGACCTTGTATTTTTTTCATGCAAAGTGAGTCTACTCTTGGAATTTATTTATTTAGTCAATAAAAATGCCCCCTTGACTATGTATCTTTGAAAGAAACTAGAAATAATTAAAATAAAATAATAAATCAAGAGAGTTAATCATATTTCATTCCATCTATGTAGAATAAAATACCTTAAATCCTTAACAACACAAAGAATCACCTAAGAGTCTCAACAAATAATAACAAGAACACACATTTATCTACAGCATCTGGTGTTACTTTACAGGCTGTTCAGGGGACAATGCGGGAAATACAGAAAGGACAGCATGAAGGATGACCCAGCTGGGTTTTTTTTTGGAAGGTGTGTTATGTTGTTTAAAGAATGATGTGCATTAAAAAAAAATTTAAATTTTATATATAAAAGCAGAAAAATAAGACAATACTGAAACAAATGAGTCATGCACAAAATATTCACATTTGACTGGACCTCAGAATCATGGGAATCAATCAAAATCATTTAAAGTTCACCACATGTATAATATAAAGACTTCTCTCCATCGGTTATTAATATAGAGAGCTTATTAAACTCTCAAACTAATGTGGGTGGAGCATTAATATTTAAATATCCAGCAAGAAGAGTTTTAATAACCCTTCATTTTTTTCGTTTTGTTCTTACCGGTTCAGAATATAAAAATCCCACGCCCTCTGCAGCTGACTTGATAAGTTCAGATTCAAGTTTATGACGATTGATAAATGCTGTTAAATCCTAGAGAGAAAAATAATTTATATTTAAATAATATCTAAGAGATGTGCTAGAGGTTCAAGTTGGAACTTTTCATTATAATGGCCAATGAGCAAACATAAAGATCCAAGTAGCAAAACCAGTCCCCATAGCAACATGCTTTCACAAGATAGCATCTTGCAGGGATAAAATTTGAAAGAATTAAGATCTGGAACAGATATTAGATCTCTGTGTCTTTAAGTACAGTGTTTATTGTTTGTTTTTAATCAACTCTCCGTGAAACACACTGCAGTTTAAAGAGATTTCTTTCCGAACTCTGTTCTTACCTCTCGTGCCTCAATGGATGCTGGGTCAATGCTGTCATCCAGCATGCTCTCATAGTAGTCTATGTTATCCAGGACATCCTCGTCATCTGGATGGAACATCAAGTAGGCTTTGGCACACTCCAAGGCTTTCACATATTCACCAACTAGAAAATCAAGGCGTTGCCACATTTGAGTCAGCTAGATCCTGCCCAAAAGATTTCACAGGAAGACTTCTGCATGTCTAGTGACGTCAGGATGCTTCATCATAAATGGGAGATAAACTGAGGCTGAGAAAACGGGTTAGAAGCATGACTTCAGGTACTTAAATAATCATGACACAAAAGGTCAGGCATGACTTCAGGTACTCAGATGAGATGACCTTTTGTTCGCTTTGGTACTGGGCATGTTGCAGAAATCCTCTAAAAGCTCCATCAGAGAATGCTTGCTGTTAATTTCAGTAACACTACAGCAAACCTATGTGAGTTCACTCGGACCATTTTGTACTGTGTGGCCTACATAAATGCTCCGAGCATGACCTTCCAATATGATGATGTAGCATTCATAAACAAAATATGAGTGTATAAGTGATTCAAAGTCTTATTTCTTTTCACTGGAAAGTGTACCATAAACTGTTGTTTCTATAGGGCAACCTTTAGCGCTCTAGATAGTCTCTTCTAGCCCATTCTCCTATGACCGAGAGCAACCTCAACACGATCTAACTATTACCAAGAGCCGTCCAGGCTGTCTCAACTATGAATACTTGGTTATAGAAATCTTTAGTTATTGCAAAAAAAGATGTTTGACTCTTAGCAACAGAATGTTAAAACGCTGCATGCCATGTTCTCAAATAGGCCACAAAATTTGATTTCTTTTAAAAGGACACTTTGTCCTGTTTCCTGTTTTCTCCTTCTTCCAATGTCCATCCCGTTTGACTTTCTGAGTGAGGATTGATCATCTTACCCAGGGTCCTCAGTCTTGCTCAGCTTCTTTAGGTGTACAGATTTTAGCATGTTTATCCTCTATATTGTATGTCTAATATCTATTTATAAGTGAGTATATACCATGTGTGTCTTTCTGCTTCTGGGATACCTCACTCAGGGTGATCTTTTCTAGATTTCACCATTTGCCTGCAAATTTCATGATTTCCTTGCTGAGTAGTATTCCTTTGTGTAAAAGTACCACAATTTCTGTATCTACAGAGGGCCTCTGAAAGACTCTACCCAGCAGTGTATAAAAGCAATTGCTGATACTTATAAACTAACTTTGGGCAGAGTGTAGGGAAGGGAATCTTATGAAAGAAGGGGGAGATAGTATGACCTGGAAAGGACACGAGCTACATAAAGAGAGCAACAAAACCAAAATATCTTGGGCACAGGGGTCTTTTCTGAGACTGATACTCCAGGCAAGGACCATTCATGGATATAACCTAGAGCCCCTGCTCAGATGTAGCCTATGGCAGCTCAGTATCCAAGTGGGTTCCCTAGTAATGGGAACAAGGACTGTCTCTGACACGAACTCAGTGGCTTGCTCTTTGACCACCACTCCCCTTCTGAGTGGGGAAAAGCCTTGCCAGGCCACAGAGGAGGACAATGCAGCCAGTCCTGATGAGACCTGATAAGCTAGAGTCAGATGGAAGGGGAAGAGGACCACCCCTATCAGTGGACTTAGAGAGGGGAAGGGAGGATATGAGGGAGGGAGGGCAGGATTGGGAGGGAATGAGGGAGGGGGCTACAGCTGGGATACAAAGTGAATAAACTGTAATTATACAAAAAATAAAAATTTAATTAAAAAAGACATTTTGCCTTTGTAGACACATACACATATATGTATATACATTTTTCTCTGTGTGTATATATTCTTGAAGAGGGCTCCAAATTTTTTAAAAAAATGACAATAAGCAACTGGTGTGCCTAATGGTTTGCATTCATTGCTTATGATGTGCACATGAGTTATTACTGTCATAAGTACCAGGACAATGAGTAATACCTTACTTTTGGAAAAGGAGGGAATTCACCAAAGCAGTTTTAAAATGTTGGTTTGCAGGTTTTTTCCCTCATTATTTTAAAAGGAAAATATTTCTTTATGGCTGACCTGTATAAAAGATATTGATGGTGAAGACAGTGAGAAATAATGAGAAGTGCATTGAGCCAAGTAATCACAACCTGTCAACCAGCCAGTCACTTCTCCACAAAGTGAAGGTGAGGACATCAAAATGATTTATATGATCTGAATTCTATCAATTGCTTTTAAGTACAAGAGGGGGTATGCAATATCTCCTCTTCAACTAAAAAAATGGAAACCAAAACTATTCTAAATTACTAAGTGTTACCCTAGGGGATTGTAGAGTACCTGAACATTTTATATAATATATTCTGAAGATGAACAATGGAAAATACAATCCATATGGAGGAAAATCTTGCAATGTGAATCAAAACTACAAATAGAATAAATTATTTGACCCAGTAAATGCACCTCCAGATATTTATCCTTAGAAATATGTAGATAAATGTGCACAGACACATGTAAAATGTTATCCTCCTGTAAGTTCACTGCAGGTACAAAAGATTACAAACAATGCAACTGTCCCTCAATAAGAAGATGCATAAAGTATGTTCTAATATAATGGTATACAATCATAAAGAAAGATTAGGACGATCTCTCTGTACTCATCAACTAAAGTTAAACAATCAATTACTAGATTAATTTTAGCCTAAAATTTGGTAATTTTCTATGTCTAACCTACTGACAGTCATCTGGCATGTATGAAGTAAAAACGATATGGAACATAGTGTAAATAATTTACTGTCTTCACATAAAAAAAAAGAAGTAAGGTTCTCTAAGTGTGTTTGTTTATATATAAAATTTTGGAAGTATAAGAAACTTGATTGAAGGACAAGAAAGTGGCTGTGGAAACAGAAAGAGAGCACATTCCTAGTAAAACTAAGTTTTTTAAAAAAAAGCAGCTTAGGTTGAAAAAGAAATTTTGCAAGTCTAGTGTAAGTTTTATGACATTATAATAGCAAATTCTGTGTTTCGTCCACTGTTAGTGACCTTCCCTGCTCTGAGCTGCAGCCAAATTGCAAGAAGGGAAGGGGGAGCCCATAAACCTGCATTGCTTTGGTGATGAAAAGAAAGAAAGCAGGGGTCTGGATGGTGACAAGATGCCCACAGTGATGAAGAAGAACTGCAAAGATCATCATGGATAACCCACACTTTACCTCTGTAGTAGGCAAACTGGAGGTAGTCGTAATGCAAGGGAAGAAAATTCTCGATTGGTGATAGGCGGCCTGGGCGGGTGGCGAGTTCCCGTACACACTCATGCTGACAGACCAGGACCTGCATGTAGTGATCTGGAAGGCAAGAGAGAGAAGTGTCTGCCAGACGGTGACATCATTTTAGCCATGATCACTCAACACCACTGGGTCCCAAACCTCTGCAGCATGTCAGGCTGCCTGTGCATATAACTGACTGTGGACTTTCTTGTCAGACACCTTGAGCTTCTCTTTGGGTACTTCAGAAGGTCTGAGAAGCCCTGGAATTGAAACCGGATGTTCACATCCTAGTGATGTTTAGAAGCCATTCAGAAAATGGAACAGCCCTGCATCCAGAAAGTTCAGCAGGGGAAAGACAAGACCCAAACTCCCCATCCCTGTGATTTTTTTTCATAGACAGAATTAAAATATTTCCTGATACCCATTTTCAGGACCCTATTCTACCCAGTTACAGACCAAGCTCTACTGGGACACTGCATATTCTAATACATGGGATAACTGTTTTGACATAGAGTGGCAAAATGGCAGAAAAGATGACAGTAAAGAGTTAGAATAAACATTCTCCTCCTTGCATCCTTTTGTGTGCTTGCTGTTCTCACTTAAAACAGTAAAGATGCTAGAGTGCCCCTTAGCTCACAGCTCTGTTTTATCAAGGCATGATCGGAAGAAACTTAAGCAGCTAATGTTACAAGGAAAACGCCTCTTCCCCTTTGCCTAACTGAGTCCTATAGCAAAGATGGTAGCAATGTTTTCCAGGGAGAGAATGGTTCATTCATACTTGGGCTGAGTAGGCCCCCTGGGGGTTTAGAAAATCACTTGACTTCATGGCTACACAATTTAATTGGCTACAACTGCTTCTTTCAAGGGGCTCTCTGTTTAGTCGGAGTTCATCTTGAATCTGGGCAGCCTTGCAGACTGAGGTCAGGACACAGGAAGGAAGGGAGAAATTGAAGGGTGGAGAGAAACATTTTCCATAACCTGGCTAACTTGAGCCCACATAGAACAGCTAACAGAACCAATGCTGAGTCCATCCACTGCTTTTTACGTCTAGTTGGAGATGTGTAGAAAATAATCAGATCTATGTATACAATCTGAATGTTAGGAATAAAACATTAGCTGACTCTGACATGAATTCAGTGGCCAGCTCTCTGATCACCTCCCCCTGAGGTGGAGAGGTGCAGCCTTGCCAGGCTACAGAGGAAGACAATGCAGCCAGTTCTGATGAGACCTGATAGACTAGAGTCAAATGGAAGGGAGAGAGGGAGGGTGGGATTGTAATACAAAGTTAATACATTGTAATAAAGTAATTATAAACAAACATTAACTGTGTTTCATAAGATAGGGGAATGACAAACGGCCATCTCTTCACTCCTCCACAGACAGAAGTCTCTTTACCTTCAAATCTATGTTTCCTTTAATATCAAGTGACCAAAAAAGGAAAAAAAAGTACCCACCAACAACTCAAATCTGCAGGATTATATTTTCAAGGCAGAGCATAAATAGCAAATGAAGATATCTCTAGCTCAACGAACAGAGCTAACTGTAGGAAAATCTGCACCAAGCAGCAATTTGTATTTTCTTCCAACACTAAGTCCCTTCTAACTCTACAATACAGGCATTATGGTTTTCATAATACATTCTCTATTGTAAATGCCACCTTAGCTCCAAATTGAGGACATCTAAGTATATATAAGACTAGAACTTGCAGGGTGAAAAGTTGTTGTATTAATCTTACTGGTTGTATTCTTTTCCTTTCAATGTCATTGTGCAATTAATATGTTTTTAGTATATTTGTAGTTCAGAACAATTATATGAGAATACTTTTAGATTTTTGATACAATACATTAAACATACTTCAGATTTCTAGGAAACCTTATAGTAATTGTGGGTATTTGGCTGGGACCAGAGAGACTATGATTTATTTTTAAGTTTTTTACTGGGACCTGGGAAACTGGGGTGGTAATTAAGAGTTAAAAAAAATGAGTATGGATGTGCCTGTTTATCTGTTCTTTCCCAGCAGCCAATGGGTTATGGTAACTTTATCAACATTAAATATTACCCAACATAAAGATCAGTTTCAGTAACAGGATCTAGCTCATTTGCCAAAACTGTTCCATGGACACTGACAGCATAGGTGCAGAGGTAAATGGGTCAGAGGTGGGGCATATTATCCCATAAAATCACAGCATTATAAAGTGTTATATATAGCTCATTCCCTTGCAAAAGACTGAGAAAAATTCAGTAATGACACTGCAGAAGACACACAAAAATCACTATTAAATGAATTGTGCTCACAAAAATATTAAGAAGTTAAAATGGCAAATGTCCAAGGAACAAAACTCTTAAAATTAAATCCTCATAACTCATTGTTATTGTATATTGATTTTGGGCAACTTAAATTTACTTTGGTAATGGAGCACTTCATAGTTTAATAATTTAATGTAGTGATTTTGACTGTAATATTCATATTGATCTAGCTTATACTTTGTAGCTGTTCTCTAATTAACTACTAAAAACCCCACCTTTTTTTCATGACCGGCATTATCATAAGCACAAGGCACCACTACAATATTTATCTATACATAGTTATTGGTGTATAAATCACATCCTTTATTCTTGTATTCACCAAAGCCTTCATTTATTAAGTAGCTCAGGGACTTGCTGAAAACTGAGCACTGAATAAGATAGGACACTGCCCAAGTGATACCATAAAACATCCTGCAGGTTTGCAAGGGAAAAGAGAGTGGGTGGCACAGCCAAAGAAGGGCAGGAATGAAGAGAGACTGTGAATATACACACTGAAAGTCCTTCCAGGTCACAGGCTTTATTGCAAGTGGAATGAAAGCCATGAGAAGAGGGAGTTTACATACAATATCTCTGTTAGTTAGTACAGAATTTGGGCTCTGTATTAGAGCTCAATCTGAACCATACACCAAGAGCAGGAAGGAAGTAGTCATGAGGGGCTCAGTTAAAATGTGGTTTTGACTTAAGCCATGGAAATGGGGAGGCTCAATTAAGTGGTAAGTACAATGTGAAAGAAGCATTTGTCCAAGCTTGGCAACAAAGAAGATGGACTTAAAAGTTGTGGAACATCTTAGATTAAAAAGCAACTTCACAGGATTTGGTTCAAGCTCCTAGGTAGGTGCTTTGGAGGGAGATAAGGAAACTTTAGAATTGGAAGGGCAAACATAGTAATTTCCATGTCTGTTGAAAATTGTTTCTCATTATATATGTTGTGAAACCTAACATGTCATCAACATATGTTTAATAAAGATTTGTTATTGAATAAGGTACTCTTTACTCAGATTTTAATTATGTTGACTTTGAAAAATATGAACTCTTGATTAAAATAGCCTGAGTCTAAGTCTAAGTTTGTTTCTAGCCACATAGCTCAATTGTTCTAAGTAACAAGTTCCTCACCTAAGGGGAGCAGAAGCTCTTTAGTGAGGTGGCTAAGCAACAGCCCGAGCTGCAGATCTGTGTGAGAAGTCTCCCTGAAAAACCAGCACCCTTTAGGCCTGTGATACCATCAAGAAGAGCAAAACTAGCTATTGGCTGTGGAGGCCACGGGCCCAGTTAGGAATCCTACCCCTATTGAACCTACTACACTGTGCAGAAGGCTTATTTGGTCAAAGTGCTTTCTAAATGCTGTTTATATCCAAGGGTGAGTGCTGCACCCAGCCTTCTTTCCAGAAGCTTCTTAGTACAGTGGAACAGCAATTAATGAAAGAACCCACAGTGGCCAAAATGTAGACAACCTGTGATGATGCTCCAGTCTACACACGCAAGGTTATGTATTCCTTCAAGGCTCAGCTAGCACCATGGAGGGCATGATAGATGTCAGAAAGAATGTAAGAAACAGAGAATGGGAGATGGGAAGTAAAAAGACATTTTCTGGACATGACATAGCCAATGAACTTAGGAACTCACTGTCTCTGTGTTTGTTGGCACAAGATATGTCTAACACTGGACACAGCAAAATTTCACCAAGGGTAGAAGAGGGACCCTGCAGGTACTGGTTATTGAGTTTAATGTTTGTGGGGGTTGGAGGCTTCATCTAGGGTAGCCACTAGAAAGCCATCTTCATCCAGTAAGTGACAGCTCAGTCATGTGCCAGCAAGAAATAACTAAATTCATTGGACCACACACACACAGATAAGAAGTAGGAGGGGGACCCATTGAGAAGAAGTGTTTCAGTGAGAGAAGGAAATAGGATGATGGGGAAATGGAAGGTGAAGAAAATGACTAAAATGTACTAGCTAAATGTATGAAAGAGTCAAAAAATTAAATTGAAAACAGATCATCAAAACCCAAATCCAAACAACACCAAAAAAGCAAAAGGAAATAACAACAAAAACAAAAAACAAAATCCAAGTCAAGAGTTGCAACACCCTGTGCCAAGCAGTACCTGACACTGCTTGTGTGTTGATAGCTGGAGAATAGTCACACATCCTCAGACTGTGACATTCAGCAAGAACCTACCCTTTAAAAGGAGTGCTATCCCTGTACAGAGGCCTCCTCACAGCTTGTCTGTGCTAGCTCCAAACACAGTCATAGCCTAGTATGCTGCTATACTTGTAGGCTTGCCTGTACTGTTATGGCTACCTAAGAAAATGATGAGAACACACCAAGACGTAAGCCAAAGTCAAATAAGGTCCCTCTAGGAGCCTCTACTTCCCACGAAACATTGTCTGTACAGCCCTTGACTTTCATTTCACTGACTGTATATGCAAGCAAAGGAAGAGCCACGGCCTAGTGGCACAAGCCTATAATCTCAGCTATTTGGAGGCCTGAGGCAGCAAGATTGCAGAGGCAATGCCTGCTAGAACTAGAGTGAGTCCATGGGCAGCCTGGGCAACTTAGTGAGACTATAATTCCATGATGAAAAGTAAAATGAGGGAGAGCATTATAGCACAAGGACACTACAGTTTCCACTTCTTCCTGCCTTCAGTTCTGTCTGAAAGTACTCCACCTCTCCTACACAAACTATATAAACACACTCCTAAAGTTTCTCCTGACAATTGTATTTTTAACACTTATGTTGTCAATACAAATAAATTATTTTCAAATACAGAATATATAGAAAATTCACTTCTTCCAATAAAAAGGTTAATTACCCACTATAAGCAAGTCTTGAATATAACACATTGCCTACTATTTTAAACAACATTCTCAAGTACAATAAGCCAATTAATTGTACAAGACTATATCAAAGGGTTCATTTCTATATTATTTACAGTAATGAAAAACTGAAACCATTTCAGTTGTCATCAGTAAAGACTAACATTGAAAATGATGATGCTCCCATATAATGAGTCTTATCTAGCCACTAAACACAATAAAGTCGGTCCACATGTACTTACATGAGAAGTCCACATTTTGTTGCTAGGCATAAAATAAAATAAAAAGAACAGTATGTTGAGAAGAAATAGTTATAGTACAGTATTTTCCTATTTATACTGATGAAATAAGTAAATATGCAATTATTAACAAATACATCAGGAAGATGTTAGAAAGAGAAATAATCAAAATTTTAACTATAAAAAGTAACAAGAGACATCATTAAATAAGCACATTAGAATCTTTAACATTTTATAATGCTTACTACTATGCACTATATTGCCAGAATAGTTTTATACAAGATCTGTAGCAATTTAGTAAGCCAACAAAGAATAAAAACAACCTTTACCTGCAATTGCCTCATAAAGGCCACCTCTGTACCCTAAATATTCATACTCCTCAAATCTCTGAGGCCCTTCACATAGAGCACGGCACTCCATATCTTCATTGAAATATTCTCTTAAGGCTTGTTCAAAGTACTTGATTGCTGCTTCAAAGTCATCAGCCTCATAATGTTTAACTGCTGCATTATAGCTCTCCTGCAAAGGAACAGACAGGACCTTGTTTGTGAAGAGTGAGATATCAACAGACCCAGGATTGCTTACAATGGTGAAAGCAGAATTTTGTGTTGCAGAAGGTAATGACAGGTTTCAGGGGTCAATCCAACTGTAACTTCCCTATGTTCAAATACATGTCAAAGAAAGGGAGCCTGGACTATAGGAGTGACAATCAATCCACAATCTTTCTGCATGTAGATGGGAGCGTACTGTGTAACCTCCCTGCTGCAAGGAAGGCATAGAAGAGCAGTGAGATAACAAATATGGTTAAAAGTGCCATCACTTCCAATCCTTGGTCCACTAAATCTTCATTTCTCTACCATTTTCTCAGGAGTAATTTTAGAGGTCACACATTGAGAATCGGGGGATGGAAAGACAAAAAACTTTCCTACATGTGGTTTCAAATAATATTTTGTTGTAAGACAAATTTTGCGGGTTTTTTCAAACTCGAGATGGAAAGCTTCAGTTACAAGGGAAAATCCTCCAGATTGGAAGCTGCAGAACAATAGTGCAGCCAGGAACCACTCATGCTGGCTTCACTCATAGGTGAAAAGGAAGTTGTGTTAAATGTCAGGAATGTGTGTGATAGGTCTGCTGCACTCAAGAATGCACAGACCAGCGACTGATTGCAAGATATCTGCACAGAGATCAAGTCACTGAGTATTCTGCCATGAACTGGGGAGAGACGCTTGTGCCCCCACCCCTAGCTGAGGAGTTATTAAGAGTTGATGGCTGCTAGGGAAGGCAGAATAACTTTTCTTTAGAGCAGTGGTTCTCAACCTTCCTAGTGCTCTGACCTTTTAACACGGGCCATCATGTTGTGGTAGACTCCAACTTTAAAATTATTTGCAGTAACTTCGTAACTGTAATTTTGCAACTGTTATGAATTGTAAAGTAAATATCCATATTTTCCGATGGTCTTAGGTGACTCCTGTGAAAGGGTTGTTCAAAGGCCAAAGGGGTCAGGAGCTGCTTTAGAGGTATGGCCACTTGTAGGTACTCTAGTGGACACTCCATACCCGTGCATATATGAGTGGCACCAACTGATCTAAATGGTGAAGAAAGAGAGCCGGAGGAGGGTGATCCGGGATCTAAGAAGAACTGGAAGACAGAAGTAGGAGTGAATGTGATTCAAAAACACTGTATGCATGAATGGCATTCTAAAGAATTCACAAAAAAATATTGCATTCAAAATAAACTATAGCACTCAACAAAGACATCTCAGAATAAGAAATGTCTAGAAAACATTTAAATCTAAACAACGTCTTTAGCAATCACAGAAATTCATAATAAAAAGTACTTTTGGTTCCATTTTACCCTAGTCAGTATGGCTATCATTAAGAATAGCAAGAATAACAATGGGTGGGGTGGGGTGGGGTAAAGGGAAATCGTACACACTGTGGGTGGGAGAGTAAATTACTATAGCCACTCTGGAAATCAGTCAGGACTATATGATCCAGGTATTAATGAGTGACTATTGCATATTCTGGAATGGGGGAACCAGAGTCTTCAGTTGTGAGCCCACTGCTGGGCCAGCTAGTCTCCAGCAGAAAGTCCCAGGTCAACTCAGGTCAACTCAGACTGACCTGGTTGAGCTGTGGGTTACAAAACAAACAGACATAAACATGAATGTGAGAAAGAGATTTGCAGGGAAGAGGGGTACACAAGGTAACAGGGAGATGATAAAAGTGGTCAGTATGCATTATTTACATTGTGTGAAACTGTCAAAAATACATTATTAGTTAAAAATATGTGTGAAAAAGTGCTGAATAAGATCTGAGGCTTTTCAGAATGTGTAGATAACTTCATGGAGTTCTAGGCTTTACCATATTCTGATTTTTCTAAGTGAATTTCCAGTTCTCTCAACTTCAATTTTTAATTCCTGACATTTTAACTTGGAATATCAAATATATTTACTTCTCATTACAATATTCCATCTGATAGTTTCGAATGTTTAAGAATTAGTGCACTCTGAGACTTGATTTGATATATCCAGTATATGATTGAGTTCGGGATCAATGAAACAGGTACAGTGAGCTTTGTGTGGCAGGGACAGGGGTACCCAGAACTCACCAGGTGTGGCTTGGCTTCTCTGTCTACCAGCTGGGAGGCTTCCATCCCTGCCGTCACTCTGTAGTCCTCTAGGTTCTGCTGCATTTCCATGTGTTCAGGGTTTGCCATGAAGAACGTGTGAGCTGCTTCCATGGCCTTTTCCAGCTGGTTAAGCTGTAAAAAGAAAAGGACAAAAGGAACTGTTGTGTAAACTTGACTTTGGAGAACTAAAGAGAGCAGTCCAAGGTCTCAAAGTAGAGAAGTAGCAAGGGCAGGATTCCAGGTAAACACACACACATACACACAAACACTTTGTATATATAGATACAAATGCTTCTACTATACTGATTTCAACCTCAGCATTTTCAGTGCTGTTAACAAACTGTTCATAAAATTATATGTGGATATTTTGGTCCCAGTGAAAGGAATAAATGGAGTTTGTTTTTAGTTTATTCTCCTCCCTTGTTTTTCTACAGATATGTGTCTTAAGGAAAGTGATCTGAACCCTTATATTTGGTTTATGTTCAATACAAACAATTTGGTAAGATTTTGCCCTCTAGTTTACATTTCATCATTGTATAAATGATTGGGATTTATACTTCCATGAAATACAGCTGTGATTTTTCTAAGTGATAGAACTAGGTAAACTTTCTCCACTATATTAGTTTTTTTTTCTTTAGAGAATAAATAACAAGAAGCTGAAAGATGTAAACTAATCCAATGCAGAAAAGAGGTTAACTTTGTAAGCTTGATTTTCATCAATGCAAAAGGGTGAATTATTTTTAGTTATCTGTGTAACTGCAGGAGCCCATGGATACCAGAAGAGGGTGCTAGAGCCCCTGGAGCTGGATTTGTAGATGGTAGAGAGCAGCCTGGCTTAGGTTCTGGAAACTAAACTCAGATCATCTATAACAGCTGTATATGTTCTTAACCATGGAGCCATTTCTCCAGCACCAAACCCAACAGATCTTGAAAAATCACTGGCCAACATTCCTAAGCCTTTTTGTGCCATTTTTCATGGTCAAAATAAAGACATGTTTTGTTTTGTTTGTTTTGTTTTAACTAAATGGAATTAACTCACTATGTCAAAACATTTTGGCTTCTGCTCGAGACATGGAGAGTTCTTACAAAAAAAAAAAAAAAAAGATTCATAATCTTCGTATCAGAAAAGTTGACATTTATGTTAGTAATTTTGTTATAGTAAAACCCAATGAATATTTGATATATTACAACGAATGAAAAAAGGAAACCACACTGTTATTGAATACATAAGTATGAGGTCATCCAACATCATAAAACCATTCAACTGAGTCTTTCTTTAACGAAGTAGCTATTCAGTGACTTAAAAAGCAGAAAGAAATAGGATGTTCCCAGGTTCCCAGCATTGTGAAAATATACAAATAACCCACTTCACCACAGAAAATATACTGCTCTAATTTATGACATGGTGTCCTTACTTTTGCCTGTTAATAGAGAAGTCTTTCATTTGTTCCCCTCCTTTCATATTATCTGTGTATCTTCTTTCTCTTAGATGTTACCTAAGGTTAGGTCTTGCCATCATAGTGTACACTCACAACTGTTTTGGCTGTCTATGTGACTGGTTTCGAATCTGCTCTCTTGTTCAATTCTCATTTTTCTCAATTTCTCCAACTGTAGTGCATATAAAAAATACTTGGACGTCTACATGGTGATATTTATATGGGAACTGAGAATAGAAGCAAGTTCTAAATTGTGTATAAATCCAAAATTATTGGTCAAATGAATATGGAGAAGGTTATTTAAACATTTTTGCTTTAGTCATGTAGCAAGCAAAGAATCTGCTCATTAAAACCTGCATAGCACAAGCGACTTGGTGGGATTCAAGTGGTTTAACTGTGCTGTGTATGAATATGTTTCAGAAACAATCGCATATAATTTATAAATGATCTATCAATTAAACTATGTTGGTTTGCTCTCATTATGAAAGAGTATAAGGGATAGTGCCCAAAAGAACATCATTTATAAGGATACAGCATATTTTTGTGCTCTACAGAAACTGCCTCTGGCTAACAGCCAAACTGCCAGTAATGAGTAAAACATGTTAGCATCAACACAGTGTATTGGAAGCTTGAGGCATTAACAGTGACAGTACACAGTTTGACAGTTATGCTCCTCATTTTCCCACCCTTCTAGTGGATCAGGCTGGTCCACTGATACAGAGAGTATTTGTCCATGAGTCTTTTCTTTTTGAAATCTAACTTGTCCTGTAAGGCCAAGTTTTAATACGGTGTTTTCAACCTTATTGTGACAGCAGAAGAATCTTAATGTCATCTAATCCTTTTCCCTGCACTGGGACTTACCATACTCTGCCCCATGACAGCGAAATATATCTGTATCCCTATGAATGGCTTATGTGGAAAAGAACCAATAACTTAACTCTCTTTCTTATTATTTTTTTTATCTACATAATTATCCATACAAAGAGAAAAAAGCGCTACCTTTAATACAAAAACAAGAAGGTACAGGTGTTGGTGTACTTCATATACTAAGTAGTGCTAATAGCATGAAAATGTAACAAAACCATCTCTGAAGTCACTGTGTACACTCAAGATCCCAATGTGGACAACCACAGATAAACATGACTCCTATAAATTGCCACTGGTGACGATAGAGTTTCTTTTCTTAAATTTATTGCAGTGGCTGTGTGTTTACTTGTTTTCCGTCTTTATAATCTATTACAGGACACACCATTCTGCGTGTGTGTGTGTGTGTGTGTGTGTGTGTGTGTGTGTGTGTGTGTGAAGAAGATTGTGTGACCTCACACTGAACCATAAAATTAATTCATGCACGGGTCCTGGCTTTTAGGCTACAAACTATGTCTGTCAGAATATATAACTTCAACCACCAAATTAACTGTAGGCTTTATGTACTTGTACTTCATTTTATAGTTCATGCTAATAAATGTCCAAGTGATCATGTGTCTGCTACACACAATGTCATTTATTGGGTGAAGATAAACAAAGTCCCATAAGAACCAGATTTTAGCTAAGGAATGAACTGCCTACCAAAACCAAACTGCATTTATAGAGCCCAGATTTCCTTTAAGATACAGTGATGACAAACCACAGAGAGGGGACTCTGATGTAAGGATCACTCTTTGGACTAGAAGAATAAACTGTGACTCAAAGAACAATTGAGGAAAGAGGGATGGTTGGACAAGAAGAGGTTACCTAACTTTTAACTACCCCCTGAGCTGTGGGAAACACAGCTTTTGAATGTGTTGGCTTACTTTGCTCAGATCTTGAAGAACGAGGAAACCTGCCAGCCCAGAAGCCAGACAGCATGGGGCAGTCATGCTGTGCAGACAAAGAAATGAACTTTGATGAAAGGATCACCAAGTGAACACTCAGGAGTCACTCTGCCACAGATCACCTCTCACGGTTAAACTAAAGACACTGCAGAACAGGCACTGAACTTGCACGCACCTTCAGGAGCCACCTTGCAGCCACAAAGAGACTTCGGACATGGCACCATGACACTGAAGAACTTGTAGATTAGAGCCAGAGGTACAGGTCTCTTTAGTTAACGCCTCTGGTTGTCGTTCAGCCACCTCGCCCAGATGAACTGTATAACTTACATGTAAATCCAATAACCCAGTCACATACACATTCTTTATTCCATCTGCACACGCATTTGTCAGATGCTCGTTTTACACACTCTATTATAGCTGGAGAGAGTTGATCCATCTGGTGTGGCCCAAAGGAAAAGAAAAAAAAAAAAAAAAGGCCCTGCTTTCTAGATTCTTCTTCTAAAAGAAGATAAATCTCAACTGAAAATGCACGTAATTTATGACCTTGCTGAGCTGGGATGGAAAAGGAGTCCTATGAATAAATTCAAGGGAGATCTCTCTGCAGTGTAGCTTCTGAGCTAAGAACTGAAAGTAGAGGATCCACTCATAAGAATAAGAGGAGAAACACCATCTCAGAGAAAGGACAGTGAAGACAGAGAAGGAGCCCTGTAGGGGAAAGGGGAGGCATGTCTTAAAAGCAGAGCAGAACTAAAAAGAGGTAACATTAAGTAACCAGGCCAGATGGTGAGAGCCTATCCTAAAGTGGATGCCATGCTAAGTGAAGCAGGAAACTGACTACTAAAGAAATTCAAGAAGGGGTGTAACAAGATCTTATACACATCTTCAAATGGTAACCAACTGGAGCTGCTATGTGGAGAAGAGATTTTTGCAACAGTCAGAAGAGCACTACAGTATCCCAGGTCAGGTCAGGGTTTTCGCAAACAAAGCAAGGCAGCAGGCGTTAAGCCACTGTTCCCTCTTTCTCCCCTTCTTTCTTTCCTCTTACTTCACCCACGCTGTCTATAACAACATTTTCAACTCTGGGGCCAGATAGGATAAAAGGAAACAAAAATGTAAGCGTATGATTAGAAACAGCACAAGTTTGTGTGTGTGTGTGTATGTGTGTGTGTGTGTGCAGGCCAAAAGTCAACCCTGGGTGTCCTTCTATTGTTCCTTGCCTTGTTTTGACACAAGTATCTCATTGAACCTGAGCTTAGGGAGGAGCTTTGCTCACTGTACTCTGAGTTCTGGGATTCTACTTGTCTCTGGCCCCCTAGCACTGGAGTTTCCGAGCCACATCACCTGTCTAATTTTTACACAAGTGCTGGGATCAAATTCAATTGGTCCTTGTGCTTCGTTGGTAAGCATTGTACTGACTGAGCCACCTTTCCAACCCTGGCAGTCTTCACTTCTCTAATGATCCTACAAGAGACAGATTGTGTCACAAGAGATTATTTCTGTAAATATTTCATTTGCTACTCTCCAAATTTACTTAAAATTCTTATTGACCTAGGTTAATTTTCTTTTCCAGACCTAATAGGTAAATGCATACCTCCAAAACACTGAAAAAAAAAATTAAATGAGCATTTTAAAAAAAAATAAAAATTTTGAAATAAAGTTGAGTCATGTGTTGGAGATACTGAACTAAACTACCCTTTGCAGTCTAGCGGATGTAAACTGTTTAAGAGAACCGCATCCTATATCATGAGAGCCCTGAAGATTTTGTAGACTAAACTCAGATATTTAGAGAATAAGAAAGCAACTATATGAAAAACTTCGTACTTTATTTTCTAGTGATGTTATTACTACAGCTTAAAAATTACCTACCTATGGAGTCATTTTCATA